ATGTGTAAAACTTATGCTGAAGCGTTTTGGGTATGTTTGTTAAATATTAATTTACTCAGTACCAAGCAGTTCATCGCATATTTTACTTGTTATTCCACAATTACATACATGCTTTTACTTTCTCCTTATTATTAACCTGTTACACTAACCAATTCTATCCCATATTCGCAAAAGCGAATGAACGTCGCTTAGTGCAGCAAAGCCTGGCTTATGATATTACAATGTCAAGTTTGAGAGGGAAAGTAGAAGCAGTAACTGCTGCCTTCCACTGGCTTAAAAATCAGCTGTACATATATGCCGTGATTGTAACTGACTCACAGAGCATGTTGAGAAAGGTGAAGACAGGCATGCGTTGTGCAGAGTGGCAAGCATCACTTCAGAGGTGCCAGGTTCTTAGCGTCCTTTGGATATTTTCTCCAGGTCATGCCAGTGTGTTGGGAAATTAGCTGACCGGTTCTGCACCACTTAGTGGTGAACTGATGTATGACAAGCTAGATGTTGTGAGGGCCCTTTGGTAGCGATTGAACAGTGTGGAGGCGCAAATAGATCATTATGGTCTGAGGAGAATGGCGCTTCTGGGAGTTACCAGGGGGTATGGCCGACGCTAAACACAAGGCAAGACGGATGCACAGTACTGGTACCATCAGAATTGGGACTCTTCACTTGCTGCTCTAGATGGAGATGGTGAGCTTATAGTGTCCCGAGTGTCATGATGTCGATTCTTAATTCAACATTCAAAATGTAGTTTTTTAAGTATTATGGATGAAATCTGGTCTATCACCTTTGACTTAATTTGACCATGTTTATCTTAGAGCTTCTGTTGGAACATTCTCCTTTCCTCAGTCCAGTGCTGGATTTTGGGCATGAGTGAAATAAGCTATAGAAGAGGGCCTCATTAACTACAGGGGCCTCAGACAACTTCCTTTCTTTTCACACATGACATTTTTTATAATGTTTTTAAATTGCAATTTTCTTTTAATAGAGCTTTTCTTGTATTTTCGTTATCCATATATTTAAAGGAGATCAACATTATAATTTTGAGAGCATGCATCTTTCCTATAGCAACATACGGATGTGAGTCATGCACTATCTCTCAGTCCTTAAGAAAGAGAATAGGGGCTTTTGAGCTAAAATGCTATAGAAATATTCTCTTAATATCTTGGACAAAGAAGAGGAGAAATGCTGACATCTTGAAAGATCTGAATATCAAGGAAGATTGGCTAATAAACAGCATCCTGTCTAAAAAGCTGAAATATTTTGGTCATATCATGACAGATTTGAAAAAAATAATAACAGAAGGCATGGTACCAGGAAGGAGGGGCAGGGCTGACTAACACGAAGATAGGCACAGGATGTCAGTGACTCCTTGAGTGTGAAAGTTCACGAGGCAGGAGAGCTGGCGAGAGACCAAGTTTCTTTCTGAGAGGCAACCAACAATAAGTTAGTCAGATCTGTTAAATGGATGTACATGCAAGGCTCAGGTTCCAGAATAAAACTAAAGTGCAGAGATGGATGAACAACTAGAACTTTCTGCCAGAGTTACAGCTGGTGAACGCAAAGAAGAAGAAGAAGAATCCATTTGTGTCCCAGGTCAGTGCCTATTTAGTGATTCTCTCTCCGCTTCTCCTCATAATGTACTCAATATATTTCCATGTTCTTGACTTCCAATTGTTTATCCAGGCCATGTTTTCTTTACATTCATTGCCATGTTCTTTGTTTTCTAATTATTGATCCTGACCATGTTTCCTTCACAATCATTGCCATGTTCTTTGTTTTCTAATTATTGATCCAGACCATGTTTCCTTCACAATCATTGCCATGTTCTTTGTTTGCTAATTATTGATCCAGACCATGTTTCCTCATAATCATTGCCACGTTCTTTGTCTTTCACTTATTGATCCAGACCATGTTTCCTTCATAATCATTGCCATGTTCTTTGTTTTCTAATTATTGATCCAGACAATGTTTCCTCATAATCATTGCCACGTTCTTTGTCTTTCACTTATTGATCCAGACCATGTTTCCTCATAATCATTGCCACGTTCTTTGTCTTTCACTTATTGATCCAGACAATGTTTCCTCATAATCATTGCCACGTTCTTTGTCTTTCACTTATTGATCCAGACCATGTTTCCTTCACAATCATTGCCATGTTCTTTGTTTTCTAATTATTGATCCAGACCATGTTTCCTCATAATCATTGCCACGTTCTTTGTCTTTTACTTATTGATCCAGACCATGTTTCCTTCACAATCATTGCCATATTCTTTGTCTTTTACTTATTGATCCAGACCATGTTTCCTTCATAATCATTGCCACGTTCTTTGTCTTTTACTTATTGATCCAGACCATGTTTCCTTCACAGTTGTCAAGTATTTTCTATTTTCTTGTCATCACACTCCAGCCCAAAGTGAAAGCAAAGAATCGGTTGGTAGACGACTTATCTAACCCCCCTTCAAACTGCAAAGTATCCACTTATGTATACATTACTGTATCAAAC